ACAAAAAAAAAAAGAAAAAGAAAGCAAAGTAGGAGTGATTAGAAATAGGACAGTGGATATAGATTTAAAGCTTTTGGCAAAGTTGAAACATGCTTCTTTTGTGCCTATCACCTAGAATTCCTGAAAAGTTACGCATTTGCCAGACTGTAAAGCCCGGGTGGCTTGGGCTGAATTCTGGATCTCAGAGGGTTATACAGCCTTGAGAGATCTGAGGGCACCTGAAGATGTTAAGTAAAGCTATGGGCCCTCAGAGAACTTTCAGCATCTCTCAGAATATCTTCCTTTTATGTGGATTGCTTGCAATCTGGAGTTCTTAGGAGGGAATTCTGAATCCTTTCCTGTGTTAGTTCCCACTGGCTGGGGAAATTCTAGGAAGAAGAGTGGATACGTCTACCCTGGTAGGCTAGCTCAGATTTAGAGTGGAGTTTCTGAGAGTCTTCCTAAACTCATTCTGCTTATAGCCTGGTGGCCCCAGGAGTTCTAGACTGGCCCTGTGATTTCTCACTAAGGCTGCCAGGACCCCGTAGAAGATGAGTTGATAATGTGTGGATGTGTGGGCCGGCCGGTTGGACTCACCGCCTGGTAATCCCAGCACCTTTGGAGAGCCAGGCGGATGCGGATCAGCAAGGTCAGGAGATCCGAACCACTGTGAAACCCGTCTCTACTTTAAAAATACAAAAAAGATGAGATGGCGCGCCAGGTGGACGGGCGCCTGTAGTCCAGCTATTCGGCCGCCAAGAGGCTGAGGCAGGAGAATGGCGGTGAACGCAGCGAGGCTGGAGCTTGCGTGAGCCAGTGATCGCGCACTGCATCCAGCTTTGGAGACAGAACTCCGTCTCAAAAAAAGGAGGAAAGGTGGTGTGTGAATAAATTATGTATGCGCCGTCCACGCTCCAACGCACCCCCCGCGCACCCCGCTGCCCCCCCCCATCGCCCCGCCCCACCCCCCGCCCCAGCTCTCCCCCCGCCCCGCCCGCCCCCCTCCTTTCATAAAGTTCTTTCGCCATAGGTGGGGATGGTGACATGTTGTAACTCAACCTGTAGGAGGCACCTATGTTGCAGGCGTTGGAGGACGAAACTCCAGTAAAGTTGAGAATGTTTTCTTCATATAATCCCGTTATTAAGGAGTCTTTTTGGCTTTTTTCTTGTATGTTTGTTTTTTTTTTCTCCCAGAATTGTACATTTTTATTTTTCTTTTGTACTCGTATGGTTAGAAGTCCTGAGATCACGTCGCTCGCGAAACCAATATAGGAATACTGGTAGTCTGTGTTTAGTGGGGATCAGTTACGGCTGTGAAATCACCGACCCATGTGATTTTGTAGTGCTGTGTCCTAAAAATATTTATCAGCAGCACATAATCAGCAGATACAGATTTAGAAAATGTGGATCATTTGCAACAACTACATTTATTGCTTACTGCCAATCAACCATATTATAATCACAACTTCTCCTGAATGAGACCTAAACCAGTAAGACATTGCTCAATTGGTTTTGGAAAAGATACGCTTTATAAGTCATTATTTTAGGCATATATTTCTCATTTTGAATAGATACATATATTAGAAAAGAAAATTAAAGTTTGATTAAGTCACGAATTAAAAGAATTTGAACATTTTAAAGATGGCTTTTGGGTTTCTTAAAGATGCTTCAAACTAGTTGTTAAAGTTGTTTCTTTTTTTTTTTTGTTTATACGTTTTTCCCATGTTAGTTCTTGCGAGACCTCGACAGTATTGACTTCTAATGAATGTAGACCATGTTGGCCAGGGTGGTCTTAAACTCCTGACTTCAAGTGATCTGTCTGTCTCAACCTCCTAAAGGGCTGGGATTACAGGGATAAGCCACCACACCCAGCCGGTGTCCCTTCTTATAAGGGCACTAGTCTCATTCATGAGGGTGCCACTTTTATGGCCTAATTACCTCCTAAAGGCCCAACCTCCAAATATTATACCGTCATATTGGGAATTAGGACTTCAACATATGAATTCTTGGAGGACATAAACATTCAGGTCATAGCAGTGGTTTCCCTACCTCTGACTGTGCCCCCTACAGCCAGAGTGATCCTGTTAAAACACTAATTAGATCATGTAAATTCCTAGCACAGAGTCCTCCAGTGACTTCTCTTCTCACTCAGGGTAAAGACAGTGTTTTCTATGAACCAAAAGGCTCATCCTCACCTGGTTTTGCTACCATTCTCTCCTTTATTGTTTCTATTCCAGATCACTGGCTTCTTTGCTGTCCCTTGAACCTGACAGGCCTGATCGTACTTCAGGACCTTTGTAATTGTTAATTTCTCTTCCTGGAAGGCTCTTCCCCCAGATATCACATGGCTGACCCCATTTCCTTTAGGGCTTCACTCAGATGGCGCTTTCCAAGTGAGATGTTCCATGAATAACATATTTTAAAATGTACTCCTCTAATACCTCTTGCCCCTCTTTCCTTCCTGCTTAATTTTTTCTCTCTAGTCCTATTATACTGTACTATACCTTTTACATATACTCGTATTTTGATTATTGTCCATCTTTCCAAATAGAACATAAGCTCCATGAGGTCAATAATTTTTTTTTCAGAGATGGGGGTCTCACTGCCCAGGCTGGCCTGAAATTCCTGGGTTCAAGTGATTCTCCCACCTCAGCCTCCCTAGTAGCTGGGACTACAGGTGCACACCACTGCGCCTGGCTGGATTTGTATCTCTTTTGTTTACTATTGTATCTTTAGCACCTTTAATGGGGCTTGGTGTATGGTAGGTACTCAATAAGTATTTATTAAATAAATGAGTAATAAAAACACTATATGCATATTGTAAAAAATATTTTTTAAATACAGAAAAATGTCAAGAAGAAATTAATAATTACTTAAAAGCTTTTGATTATAGAAGAGCTATAATTAATATTAATATTTTGTTGTATAGATTTTTCAGAAGATCATATACAAATGACTTTAGGTAGTGTACTATTTTTACTGAATCATATGTTGTAAATATATATATAATTTATATATTATATATATTTATATAAATTATGTATATATTTTTTAAAGACAGAGTCTTGCTCTGTCACCCAGGCTGGAGTGCAGTGACATGACCTCAGCTCACTGCAGCCTCCACCTCTTAGGTTCAAGCAGTTTTCATGCCTCAGCCTCTTGAGTAGCTGGGATTACAGGCGTGTGCCACCACTCCCAGCTAATTTTTGTATTTTCAGTAGAGATCGGGTTTCGCCATGTTGGCCAGACTGGTCTCGAGTTCCTGACCTCGAGTGATCTGCCTGCCTTGGCCTCCCAAAGTGTTAGGATTACAGGAGTGAGCCACTGTGCCTGGCTATATGTTGCAAATATTTAAAAACTCATTTAGCATATAATTTTATTTATTTACTTATTTGAGACAGGTTTTCACTCTGCCACGCAGGCTGGAGTGCAGTGGTGCAATCATAGCTCACTGCAGCCTTGACCTCCTAGGCTCAAGCGATCCTCCCACCTTAGCCTCTTTTGTAACTGGGACCACAGGTGCATGCCACTATACCCAACTGATTTTTAATTTTTTTTGGTAGAGATGGCATTTTGCCGTGCTGCCCAGGTTGGTCTTGAATCCCTGACCTCAAGCAATCCTCCCACCTTGGCCTACCAAAGTGCTGGGATTACAGGCGTGAGCCACTGTGCCAAGCCTGGTACATAATTTTAAATGACTCATTATATTCCATTGCTTGAAATATCATAATTTACTCAATCAATTACTTTTGCTATTTCTACAGGCTCTTAGGTTAGTTCCACTAAAAAAATTACTATAAACCAAGCTGCAATGAATATCTATATGATTCATATTTTTACATTTCTGTGATTATTTTCTTAGGGTAGATTCTTGAAACTTTGTTGGGTCAAGTGAATTGCAAATAGAAATGGAAGTAGTCTAGAGACCTTTGGAATGGAGAAGAAAGATTGAAATCTTGGGGTTAATGTATGGAATCATATATGTAAATTGATCAGCACCATACAATTAATTATGCGTTTCCTGGGTCCAAAAGACTGAAGAGTTTTACCTTTCATATGCTAAAATAAGAACTCAGAGATACAGCAATGTTAGTCTTTCATCGTTACACATTTTTCTAAATAGAAATCTGATATGCTTTGAGTACCTGCAATTACATGCTTTGTTACTCTTTGAATAGATCGAAGGAATTTGCAGTAAACACTCAACATGGTAAAAAGGAAAAGCAATAATCATGTTTATTATCTTGGATATTTAAAAAATGACACTAAATTACTGAAATGATTCTAATTTGCCTTTAAAGTATGCCTATTTTTGACAATCTCTTAGTTGCTAACATTTAAAGCATTAGAAATAGACCATACTATTTCAACAAACCTATCTGAGATTTGAAATAATATATCCATAATAGACCACAAATTTCCTTTTTCCTTGACTGGCCAATTCTAATACTCTTCCAATGCTCTTTTTTTTCCTTTTATTTTTAGTTGACTTGTAATAATTGTACATATTTATGGGATATGGAGTGATATTTTGATATATGTATACAATGTATAATGATCAAATCAGGGAAATTAGCACATCCATCATCTTGAACAGTTATCATTTTTATGTGTTGTGAACATTCAAAATCCTCTCTTCTAGCTATTTGAAAACTAAATTCTTGTTAACTGTATTCACCTTACTATGCTACAGAACACTAGAACTTACTCCTGCCATCTAGCTTTATAACTTTATAACCATCTTTATAAGTTTATAGCCATTGACTAACCTCACTGTATCCTCCTTCATCCGCTACCTTTTCCAGCCTCTAATAATCAAAATTCTACTCTGCTTCCACGAGTTCAGTTTTTTTTGGCTCCTACTTATGAGTGAGAACATGAGGTAATTATCTTTCTGTACTTGACTTATTTTGCTTAACATAGTATCCTCCAGGTTCTTCCATATTGCCACTCCTGACAGGATTTCATTCTTTTAAAAGGCTAAGTAGTATTCCAGTGTGTACATATATCATATTTTTTCCCCCTATTCACCCACTGATGGGCACCTGTGTTGATTCCCTGTCTTGGCTACTGTGAATAGAACTGCAGTAAACATGGGGGTTCAGACATCTCTTCAATATAATGATTTTCTTTCCTTTCTTGCAATACTCTTTAAAGACTGAGGGCATGTGAAAACTCGGAATGAACTTTGCTGGTGATTGAACACATCTCTTTTCCAGAGGCGAGAACCTTCTCTGCTTTTGATGTATTTGTTATTATAGTTATGCCTGGCCACGAACCAGGACCCTTATAAATAAATCACTGTATTGTAAAGTTTGAAAATAAAATGAAGCTTGATCCTCTAGAACCAATGTGGTAGCACTCTCCTTCCCCATGAGGCCCCAGTGAAGACCCATGGCTATGTGGATTGTGAGCATTGTGCTCCAGACACGTGCCTCCATTTTTAGAGATCCTAAAGGGTTGAGGCTAGGGGAATCCATTTCCCCTCCTGTTACTAAGTCCACAATGCCTTGAAGATTTCCTTATATTTCTGCAAAGCATAGGTGTCCCAAAATTGCTGCCACTTTTCTCCTTCCTTTATAGGGCTTTATAGGGCTTCTGTGACAATAATTTGCTCTGTGTCTGGGAAACTGTGTTGCGTTGAAAACGACAATTATTTCCCCCAGAGAGCTTATATTCTGACTTGGTTTGATGAATGTTATCTTCCATGGTGTTAAATTCTGACTTACTTGTTATTTGCCTAACAGAAAGTGTTCAAAAGAAAATGAGGAGACTAAGAAACAAGTTTCAAAGAATTGCAGGAAACATGAGGAATTTCTGATTCAACTGCGTGACTGCTTGGATCCAGACGAGAGAAATGACAAGGCATCAGATGAAGATTTAATTTTAAAGGTATCTGTATGCAGATTAAAAAGTCTATAAATGTAGTGGTGATTCTGACGTGTGGCATGAAAGGAAGTGCTGTGGTTGAGTTTGAGTGGGGGTGGCAGGAGAATGGCACAGTAGCCTAAGTGTAGCATTAATTAACTGTGTGACTTGGGACAAGTCATATCACCTTCCTGAGCCTCAATTCCAAGATCTTTTCTAGCATTATTGGAATTAATTATTCTCCAAAAGAGATAATGGCTTTGTCTAAAATATATTTAGGTTGTCATATACAATTAATTACTCATTTTAACCATTTGCTTTAGGGAGATTTTTTCCTTTTAGTTACAGCCAGACGTATACTCACACAAAACCAGCTGCATGTCATTTTTAGGATACTGATTGAGTGTGAGTTCTAAAGTACTGTAAAAATTTACAGTAAAACCAAATAGTGGCTGGGCATGGTGGCTCACGACTGTAATCCCAGCACTTTGGGAGGCCCAGGCAGGCAGATCACCTGGGGTCAGGGGTTCGAGACCAGCCTGGCCAACATGGTGAAACCCCATCTCTACTAAAATACAAGAATTAGCAGGGCATGGTGGCGGGCACCTGTAATCCCAGATAATTGGAAGGCTGAGGCAGGAGAATCACTTGAACCAGGAGGCGGAGGTTGCAGTGAGATCAAGCCACTGCACTCCAGCCTGGGCCACAGAGTAAGACTCTGTCTCAAAAAAACAAACAAAACAAAAAAAAAAACAAATAGCAAAAATTCGACTTTAATAGTAGATTACCATTAAGCCAGAAATAAATAATCTTAACTGAATAATTCGCTTGGCCCATAGTGCTTCATTAGGATGCCTGAAAGTATCTGAGTGCTCATGGTTCTCTTTGGCTATTTACAAACCTTTCATATCCTTGCTTCCTGACAGATTTCCATACAGTCGTTTTTTTATGTTTGTTTTTGTTTGTTTGTTTGTTTATTTGGTTTAAATTTAGAGACAAGATCTTGCTCCGTCACCCAGGCTGGAGTACAGTGGCATGATCCTAGTTTACTGTGGCCTTGACTTCCTGGGCTCAAGTGATCCTCCTGCCTTAGCTTCCTAAGTAATTGGGACTACAGGCTTGCACCATGTCTGGCTAATTATTTTATTTACTTAGAGACGAGGTCTTGCTATGTTGTCCAGGCTGGTCTTGAACTCCTGGCCTCAAACAATTACCCCACCTCTGCCTCCGAAAGTACTGTGATTGTGGTTGTGAGTCACCATGCCCAGCACCCATGCGTCTTTTTTTTTTTTTTTAAATGGAGTTGAGGTCTCACTATATTGCCCAGGCTGGTCTCTAACTCCTGGGCTCAAGCGGTTCTCCCACCTTGGCTTTCCAAAGTACTGGGATTATAGGCATGAGCCATCATGTCTGGCCTATCATGCAGCCTTTTTAAAATGCAGCCATTTTAAAAAGTCATCTCTCAGGTGTCTACTAGTGAGCTTCCCAAACGTCCTCTCTGAAAGCCGCAAGATGACTTCATTCGACTTTGGGAAGTATTCCACCTCACGGATGGGTTTTGATAGCTGGGACCATGGGTCCCCCTGATGCTCTCATGGGTGCTGGATGCTTCTCCTCCTGCTCCCTATGGCTAACCTGTGACCGGGAGCTCAGCTGGAAAAGTCCACTTGTCATTTGAGAATTATCTTTCAAACCAAATGATGGGGAAAAGAAAAGGGAATTCAGAAGCTCCTTCCGTGACACCCTTTTCTCTATCAGACACAATCTCCCGGTGCTAATCTGGGTGTTTCTACTACATTCATCATGCCCTTGTCTTTTCTGTATTTCTAAGGCTTTGACTTCTGGGGTCTTGCTGAGCTGGAAGAGCCTGCCCTTCCCAGCAGAGCTTTCACGTGTGAACTGACCAATCCGGAGCCCACTCCCCAGTCACCTCCTACAACTGGCTCTTACCTTCAGGCTACTGCCCCTTGCCCTAAGTCCCCCAAATAGCTCAGATCAGCCCCTACACCCCAAGAGCCACTGAAATCATTCAATAGCCAACCCTAAGTCTGCTTACTCTGTTTTGCTTATTCCTTCCTGTGGAGGCGACAGTAAAGTCTCTCGCCAGCTTTTCTCCCGTCTTCTGTCTCCCGACTGGCCCTGGTGCTTGCTTCCCCATGGCCCTGTGTGGTGTGGTGGGTTTCTTCCACTTGGGAAAAATGAGTAAGAAACCATCTTTTTGATGTCAATTTCCTCCTGGGGTTTGTTGGCTTCAGCTTAGCTGAACAGTAATGGAATCTATATTTCACGACAGAGGGTAGGAATCGGGAGCTTTGGCATCTCGGCCACGTGAGCAGGTGCCTGTCTTAAAAAGAAAAAAAAAAAAAAAATTGCCCAGATCAGGAAGTCTGCTGTCTTGACCGAGACTGCAGCATCATTAGGTGTTCCTCCAAGAACAAAATGGCTCTGGTTTCAAAACTGTTCCTTCGCTTTCACACGCCCTCATAAACACGTGTGCCCACGCATTCCCAAGGAACCATGCATTCCTAATAATTTGACATTCATTCCTTCATTTCGCAAATATTTAGTGAGTGCTTACTATATGCTAGACACTGTTCTGAGTACTGGAGAGAGAGAAGTGAGTGAGACAAGACTATGCTCTCCTAGAGATTTCATTTTCTTTTTTTTTTTTTTTTTTGAGACGGAGTCTTGCTCTGTCGCCCAGGCTGGGGCCCAGTGACCGGATCTCGGCTCACTGCAAGCTCCGCCTCCCGGGTTCCCGCCATTCTCCTGCCTCAGCCTCCCGAGTAGCTGGGACTACAGGCGCCCGCCACCTCGCCCGGCTAGTTTTTTGTATTTTTTAGTAGAGACGGGGTTTCACCGTGTTAGCCAGGATGGTCTCGATCTCCTGACCTCGTGATCCGCCCGTCTCGGCCTCCCAAAGTGCTGGGATTACAGGCTTGAGCCACCGCGCCCGGCCAGAGATTTCATTTTCAAGGGGTAACGATAGTGAAGAAATAACCAAATAAATATGTACGATTGCTCCACATGGTGAAAGGTACAATACAGAAAAACAAATTAGGATGCAGGGATAGAGAGGGAAGCAAGTCACGGGTGTCGGAGACTGTCTGAGGAGCGCCCCCCTGAGGTCGGGAGTTTTGAGGGCTATTGAGGAACGATCATGCAAACGTGAGGAAGAGTGTTGGAGAGAGGGGGACAGCGTGAGCTGGGAGTAGGGCTCCATGTTTTCAGAGCATTGAGGCTCAAAGATACATCACTTCCACGGAGAGTCTCAACGCAAATGCTGGCCCTGTCCTGAGGGGTCTCAAGTCACCCTACAGGCCTTCCCCTGGCCCTACAGAGTGAGTTTGTCTGTGTGGCTCCTTCCCTGAGGTCAAGGAGCCTGCTGGCTTTTATTTTCCCCTTGTAAATCTTATAAATGCTCCCAGTTAACCATTCCAGTGCACAACATAGTAAGCAAAAGCCCTGCTAATCTCAATTCCCTATGATAAACACTGAGCTGTTATTCAGAATTTTCCTATGCTTATATTAAATAGAAGAATATATATATATATTTTAAAAAGCATGGCCCTGTGTTCTCTGTATTTCCTCCAGTGCCACATGGTGTCTTGACTGCAGTAGGTCTGAGTGGACATGGGCTGAAGGCAGGGCCCTTGCTTCATCGCCTACTGTAACCTCTGTAGAGCTTCGCCTTACCTGGTGTATTTAGCAGCCAGAGGTTTGCTGATGTGTGTTCCCTTGGGACGCTTTTGGCTTCATTATCTTTGCCTTGTGGCCACCTTTTGGATAATTTGAATTGGACTCCCAGGTCTAAAGCAGAGTTTAGAGGCTGCCTTTGAAAATGTGACCTTTCGAGTCCATGCAGGGATAGTGCTCTTACATTTTTCATATGATAATGCTGACTATAGATTGTGAGTTGCTTAGAGAAAATGTATGAAATTGTTAATTTTTATAGGACAGCTGTAATTGCTTTCTCTTCAGCTTAGAGAGCTGTGCAAGGAAAATGAATTCGTGAAAGGACAAATTGTTATTCTTGAAGAGACTATAAATGTCCATGAGATGGAGGCAAAAGCTAGCAGAGAAACGATCATGAGGCTGGCTTCAGAAGTCAACAGAGAGCAGAAAAAAGCTGCCTCCTGTACTGAAGAGAAAGACAAGCTGAACCAGGTACGATATGTGAAGTATATGTGTGCATCTGGGACCATGTTGAGGAAATAGAAATGGAAGAGATGGATGTCAGATAAGTGCCCTAGAACTATTGATCACAATTTTTTTTTATTGATCACAATTTTAAGAGCCTGCACTCGGCAGAAGGGTTGGGGACGACATGGGACAAGGTGACTTGAACAGGCCATTGGCTATATGTACATTTAAAAATTTTAATTGCAATTAATTAATTAATTAATTTTTGAGAAGGAGTCTCACTCTGTCATCCAGACTGGAGTGCAGTGGTGCTATCTTGACTCACTGCAACTTCCGCCTCCCGGGTTCAAGCAGTTCTCCTGCCTCAGTCTCCCACGTAGCTGGGACTACAGGCGCCCACCACCATGCCCAGCTAGTTTTTTGTGTGTTTGTTTGTTTTTTGAGACAGAATCTTGCTCTGTCGACCAGGCCAGAGTGCGGTGGTGCGATCGTGGCTCACCGAAGCTCTGCTTCCCGGGTTCTCGCCATTCTCCCGCCTCAGTTTCCCTTGTAGCTGGGACTATAGGGACCCGCCACCATGCCTGGCTAATTTTGTTTTTTTGTATTTTTAGTAGAGACGGGGGTTTCACCGTGTTAGCCAGGATGGTCTAGATCTCCTGACCTCATGTTCCGCCAGTCTCGGCCTCCCAAAGTGCTGGAATTACAGGCGTGAGCCAACGTGCCTAGCCTGATTTTTGTGTTTTTAATAGAGACAGGGTTTCACTGTGTTAGCCAGGCTGGTCTCAACTCCTGGCCTCAAGCGATCCATCTGCTTCGGCCTCCCAAAGTGCTGGAATTACAGGCGTGAGCCACCGTGCCTGGCCACACTTTTTTAATAAATGGGAAAAAGAAATACAAAACACTTAAAAGTAAAGAATTTGTAGAGAAGATGTCTTACTTTAGTTAAATTATAGGATCTTAAAATGTTTAAATTTAATATATTTGAACAAATAGGTAATATATTTACAAGAAACAAAATTCTAAATGTACAAGAGTATATGGTGAAACATGTTCCCCATACCCCTCTCCCCAGCCATCTGGTTCTCTTCAGAGGCAACCTCTCTGTTAACAATTTCTTTCTTTTAAAACATTTTTTTTGTAGAGACAGGGTCTGGCTATGTTGCCCAGGCTGGTCCTAAACTCCTGGCCTCAAGTGATCCTCCCACTTGGGCCTTCCAAAGTGCTGGGATTACAGGCATGAGCCACTGTGCCCTGCCCCAGTGATTTCTTATATACTCTTCTGGAAATATTTTACACACATACACATGTTCTTTTAATTCCTTTATAACACAAATGTTGACACACTCTGCACACTATATTTTTCTCTTTTTATTTTTATTTTAACACAAATGACAATATCCTATACATTATTATCAATACAGGTATTATGAGTAATCTTTTATCATTCTTCATGTGGGAGGATGTATCAGTAAGACAAAATCCAAGAAGTAGACTCGCTGGGCCAAAGGACATGGACCTTGTAATTCTGACAGATATTGCCAAAGGGAAGTGACTGAATTATAAACTTTTATTTACACAATGAATTGGCTGATCTTTTCAAATGATTTGCAACCTATCTGAGCATGGGACTTAATGCCATATATATTTTTTAACACTATATAATCCCTTAATTATAATTTTGTGATAAAGAAATTTATCATGGGATTAATAATAATGATTCATTTCCAAAAGTTAAAAAAGAGCTTGTACAATCAATTAATAAAAGTACATAGGAAAAAAGTGAATGGCAATGGCCTAGCAGATGGAATTTAAGATCAGCTAAGGACTGGTGCTGATAAAGGGAGCCTCCCTGGGGGTGAAGGGCTAGTGGTGGCCCACAGGCTGAGGAGGGGCCTGTGGAATTGGTGGGTGCAGGAGAAGGAGTTGCCTTTTCGGGAATTTCTTTTGGGCCTTCTCTCTCTAGTGACAGCCACACCGATGTGAGATGGGAAGTTGGAAAGCACAGTCATGACAATAATTTCTATTTTCAATTAATTTCCTGCATCAAAAAGCCCTTTGCACCACTGGCTTTATTCTCCTGACACATTAACTCTGTGGAAAGGGCAACGTTTATTATTGTCAATGCCCTCATCGTCAGCTTGGACTGCCATAACACAGTACCATAGACTGGGTGGCTTAAACAACATAAATGTATTTCTCCAATTCTGGAGGCTGGGAAATCCAAGATCAGGGTGCCAGCATGGTCAGGTTCTGGGGAGGGCCCTCATCCTGCATGTAGATGGCTGCCTTCTCCCTGTGTCCTCACATGTCACACAGAGAGCAAGCAAGCTAAGTGCTATGATGTCTCTCCTTCTAAGGGCACTAATCCCATGATGAGGTTCCCACCCTCAAAACTTCATCTGAACCTAATCACCTGCCAAAAGCCCCACCCACAAATACCATCACATTGGGGGTTAGGACTTCAAAATATGAATTTTGGGGAAGACATAAATCAGTCCATAGTATTAGCTTGGTGCAAAAGTAACTGTGGTTTTTGCAATGACTTTTAATGGCATCAACCTAATAACTTTCCATTTTTTTTTTTTTTTTTTTTTTAGACGGAGTCTCGCTCTGTCGCCCAGGCTGGAGTGCAGTGGCCGGATCTCAGCTCACTGCAAGCTCCGCCTCCCGGGTTCACGCCATTCTCCTGCCTCAGCCTCCCGAGTAGCTGGGACTACAGGCGCCCGCCACCTCGCCTGGCTAGTTTTTTGTATTTTTTTAGTAGAGACGGGGTTTCACCGTGTTAGCCAGGATGGTCTCGATCTCCCGACCTCGTGATCCGCCCGTCTCAGCCTCCCAAAGTGCTGGGATTACAGGCTTGAGCCACCGCGCCCGGCCAACTTTCCATTATTTTTCACCAACATTTTCTTTTAAAAAATTTTGAATATATAGAAAGGGTTAAGGAATATGACAATGATCACCCACCCACCTCTGCCCAGATGCAACAATGGTTAGCATTTTGTTTTATTTGCTTTATTATTTTACATAAACAATATATATGTTATTGTTTATTTATTGTTACATAAACATAGATATATTTGCAGAACCACTTGAAAATAAGTTGCAGACATCATATGTATTGCCTCTAACTATGTCAGCATATTTATCCTAAGACTAAGAACATTGCCCTATGTAACCACAATACCACTGCTGCATCTGAAAGTTAACTGTAATGCCGGATACCATCTGTGGTGGTTTTCAAGCATGCACATTTTTTTTTATATGTTTCCTCTTGAGCATGGTCTGGACTTACTGATTCCCTTCTAGAGAATAGAATATGTCAGAAATGATGGATATCACTTTTGATATTAGGTTATAAAAAGGCTGTGGCTTCTGTCCTGGATACACTCTGTTGATCTCTCTGGAATCACTTGCTCTTGAGGGAAGCCAGGGGCCGTGTTGTGAGGTAGATCTAGGGAGAGGGAAGTCAGCTACTATGTGGTGAAGACACTCAGCCACCTCTCGGGAGGCCCACGTGGCAGGGACCTGAGGCCTGTCAGCTACCCTGCGAGTGAGCCCAGCAGGGAATCCTCCTCTGGGCAATCCTGGGGAGGACTGCAGCCCCGCTCAACAGCTTGGCCCTAACCTTAGGAGAGCCCCTGAGCCAGAATTACCACCAGCAAAGTCGTGCCGAGATTCCTGACCCATAGAAACTGTGAGCTAATCAGTGGTTGTTGTTTTAAGCCACCAAGTTTGGCTTAGCTAATAATCATCTAGTATCACTCCACATTCAAATTTCACCACTTGCTACAAGAATGTCTTTTCCAGCAGTTTTCTTCCCCAAATTGGGATCCCACGTAGGTTAATTCACTGCATTTGTTGATTAGTTTCAGTTTTTTTTGGTTGTTGTTCTTATTGTTTTCAAACAGCATTGACATTTTGGAGAGTCCAGAGCAGTGGCCTGATTATTTCTTCACTGTGTGGTTTAACTTGTTTCCTGTAAATTTAAAAGTTGGATCTAGAGGCTGAATTGGATTCAGGTTAAGGCTTTTGGCAAGAATATTACATATTATTTTTCACGTTGCATTCTATTAGAAGGCAAATAATGTTAGAGTGTTCCACTGCTGGTGACACTAAGTTTGACTACCAATCTCTTTGGTGTAAGTGTACATTTTTTTCTCTTCTGCAGTGAAGTTTCTGTGTGGTGATAATCATCAGGTTATTCCTGTTCCCTATGACTTTACCTAGTGATGTTAGCATTCACCGCTTCTTGTCTGGATTAACTATTATATCATGGGTGGCAAAGTGGTGATATTCTAATTTCATCATTCCTCCCATCTATTAGGCGGTATTCTTCTCTAAAGAAAAGCTTTCTTTATTTTCTTTCCTTTCGTTTTCAATTCTATGGACACATGGATTTTTATTTATTTACTATGTTATAATCAATTATTCTCTTTCAGTGCTCCAAATTCTCCAAATTTGTCCAGCAGAAGCTCCTTCAGGATGTCCCCTGTGACTTTGTAGCATGAGTCCTTTAGTCTCTCAAGTCTTCGTTGATCTCTGACTGAAGAAGTCATCACAGGCTCTCTTGCAATATTCAGGCCACTGAACTAAAACCAGCCAATTCTTTCTTTTTTTGAGACAGGGTCTCGTTCTGTCTCTTAGGCTGGAGTCCAGTGGCGCAACCTCAGCTCTCTGCAACCTCTGCCTCCCTGGTTCAAGTGATTCTCCTGCCTCAGCCTCCCCAGTAGCTGGGATTACAGGCACGTGCCACTACGCTTGGCTAACTTTTTGTATTTTTAGTAGAGAGAGGTTTCACCATGTTGGCCAGGCCGGTCTCGAACTCCTGACCTCAAGTGATCCATCCACCTTGGCCTCCCAAAGTGCTGGGATTACAGGCATGAGCCACGGCACCTGGCCTACCAGCCAATTATTTAAAGCGCTTTGGTTCCTAATACTGGGAAATGGTGCTTAGAAAGCAAAATCCATGATTTGGAAATGTTCATTTATTGAATACTTACCATTAGCACAGTCATTGTGTTAAG